TTTTTTTTTTTTTTTTTTTTTTTTTGAATTTAGAGTCCGACTCTGCTAAAAAACTTTGAACCGTCAGATTCATATGGAACATTAAAAATCATTTATGCCGTATATGGCGTTCTTTCCCAACAGTGCTTCTTGTTTTTTAATGTGAATCGCCAAGCCGAAAACGAGATGTCTTTTTTTTTTTGTGACACCCAGGAGTTTAACTACAAGACTTCAGTAATGGTTGTTATATTGCGAATGTCAGCGTTACAGTTTGACTTTCTGAACTGCCGTATGCTCCACTTAGACACCATTTTTTGTAGGAGCTGTTGTTACGATCGCCATTGAATTCTGCTCTCTATTGATGGGTCTTTTGTTACGTCCATATGTTTCATGATGTATACACTCTGCCAAGGAATATGGAAGCATCTCACGGAAAAAAAGAACTATTTTATCGTCATAGTTGGTCTCGATAATGCTGGTAAAACGGTCTGTATTCTGTTAATTGAATAATTACTTGATTTAAACTCCCAAAATTTAGTTGAATTACTTCTTATCAAACGACACTCTCTGTAATTTCACATTATACCACTAGGGAAAGAAAAGTGAGAAAGTTGAGTGTGACGCTAAATAAGCTTTTAATTTCAGCCAGTCTGAAATTTTAAATCTTGAATTCCTTCTTCAGCTATAAGCATATTCAAAGTCATTGTCTACGTTAGCAACATTTTCTTTACCAAATTTCATTACTGTTGATACAAATATTTCCATCTAAAAATCAATCCTCTTGCACCTGCACTGCCAAAAAAAGGATATCTTTTGCAGCGAAAAACAAGTGCAAGATTTGTGGCTTTTTTTGAACTTAAAGATGCTAACTTTGGAGGGGGTAAGGGCTGATGGTTTGGACAGGTTTCAAATTAGACGGATTTCCAATAATTGTTAAAAAGTGTCTTTTAAATTTTTTGGTCTACTTGGAATACTAAGCTTCTATGTTTTGTCGTTCATTGCTTACTAAGTTATGTTCCTCCTTTTCAGACTTTCCTTGAGCAAACAAAAATGAAGTTCACGCGAGGATATAAGATGTTAAATCCGTTAAACATTACTAGTACAGTTGGTTTGAACGGTGATTTTTACGATACAATCTTCATATATTTATTACGTTTGTTCCTAAAGCATCAAAATAAGGAATATGTAGTCAGTGCGAAGTAATTGCGGTTATTAAAATGCAGAGTTGTGAACTTGAATTCTGATTCTTGAACGTTTTTTTCCTTTAAAACTGTTATATGAAGTTTTTTATTTATATTATAATGTCTGCAATTTCAGTTGGCGAAATTGAAGTTGGTTCAATGAGGTTGAATTTTTGGGATTTAGGAGGGCAAGAAGATCTTCGTTCTCTCTGGCATCAGTACTTTGAGGACTGTCACGCTTTAATTTTTGTAGTTGACTCTTGCGATGTTGGAAGGTTTAAAAATGTTGCTAAAACATTTGGTACGTTTTTTTTCCATATGTCTTTAGCCATAACTTCCCTAAATTGTCTGTTGCCTTTGTCTCTAATTATTGCTTTTTCAGAGAAAATCATGGACAGTGAAACAGTTCAGCAAATGCCAGTTCTTGTTGTGTGTAACAAAAGTGACTTAGAGGATTGCGCCAGTGTTGAAGAAATAAGTCGCTTAACTACTGACGATCGTCATATTGGAGACTTCGCATTGGTGCCCGTATCAGCGCTGCAGGGCTTAAATGTAAATAGATGTATACGGTGGTTGTGCGCAGCACTGAAAAAATCAAACTTACCGACTTTGTAGCGTTGGTGGGATTTACACTTTAGGACTACGGGTCTAAGCGTCTATTTTGAAAGACCTCTGATCTACTCCCTTCCTCGTTCACCTTCAGAAGCGTTAGGGCTTTCGGAATACTTCGCTGCGGAAAAGATATTGTCGCACCATCTCCAGACTTTCCGCAAATTTATCACTTTGCATTAATGAGTCTTCCTGTCAAGTATGCGCAGTGAAATTACCGACTTATACTCTTAAACAGCCATTTGAATTCCAAAAACGTTATGGGTTTGTTTTGAAATCTGATTAAAAATTGTGTGACTGCAGAACCGTTTTAGCTGGTTCCCCCATCCCATTGCTCTTTCCTGGTGACTGCGGTTTCAAGCGCCATGTTTTCATACTGGAGGCATTTCTAGAATACAGTGGAAGCTTGCTAAGTCCAGGCCAAAGGGTTGAAGGGACCGTTCTGAAGCCAGCTGACTGACGCCTGGACTTTTAACTGTTCGTTGTAGCAGTTTGTCCGCTGGACTCACGAGCAAAGTCGGATAAAGACCTCCATTCGAGCCCCTTCTTTGCAATTCCCGTATGAAAGCGGGGTGTTCAAAATCTTTTAATGAGTGGCCAAAACCAGATCAGAACTGCTTCAAGTGCTATCTGTCCTAAGCAGTCTGCTGGTTTCGTCCTTTTATACTGCGACAGCAGTCCCAGCCAAAATTGGACTTGGGAAAATATCAGTTGAAAGGAGTGCTCGCAAGCTTCACTTGTACTTCCCTTCGGGAAATGAATCTTTTAAAAGTGGTGACGTACAGGAAGAGTGCAGTTCGAGCAAAAAATTTATACAAAAATGGACACACGATAAAAGTAGCCAGGCTCGTTCACAACATATAGCAAAGCTACTTGAGGCATGACCATGCTTCTTCCCAAACTAACTAAACTTCGAAATTCCGATGTGTTCACAAAATACAGAACAACTTTTGGCTGTCGTTTGCGCTCTAGTGACGGTTCCCTCAAGACAAAAAAAAAATGAAAAT